GGGTTATGATGGCTTGCATCATAGCTAGCAGTCTGTCATCGTGTTGCTTCTGCGCAGTAGTTCCAGTAGCAGGGGCGCGGCTGCTGGGGCAGAAGTGGGCATGGTTTTCTTCGCTTTTTCTGCGTAAGAGGTCCTATTTGAGGTGGAGACTGCTTTGGGGGCAGCAGCAGCTCTCCTCGGGGCCTTACTACATCCTTTGTAGTTTTCTGGGTGTCCTCTCCTCAAAGGCAGCATTTGGCATTTCGTTGCCCTGTTGGCGGCGACGGACGGCAGACTGCAGTTGGTGGCTGTGGTGCTCACCACACTTTACGCACCGTTCAGCCAGACGGCAGTTTCGCTGCGTGTGTCCGTACGCTGGTAGCGGTAGCATTGGCTGGGCTCGGTGGACTTTTCCTTTCTCTCGAAGCTGACCGTGAGCATGGCCAGCCTCTGGATCTCTAGAAGCTTTTCCGCCAGCTTCGTCTTGACGATGAAGAGCGGAAGTGGCTTCTTGGTGGTCCTTGTGGTCATCTGCTGAACCTCGGCGTCTGCGATACCTTGGCTCACTAGATCCTCTTTGATGTCATCGATTGACATCTCCTTTCAGTTGTGATTGACTGCGAAGCTAAAAACATGAACTAGCTGACCAATCAGCGCGCGCTTGACGGCAGGGGGCAGAGTCTATGCCTTTCGTGAGGACTTATCCCCTCTCCAGGTAAGAACCGGTCAATATAAATAGAGGCCGCCGTCATTTCATGAGCAGTCAGACTTGAGTTCGAAGATGGATCTGATGGTGAATGAAGCGATGCTTGAAGACGGACTGCCTAGGTGCTCGACGCCTATTCGGAGGTCGATGTACCAACCAAGACCTAACTGTAGTACCGCTACTGATAACGACGGTTATTCGAGGTTCCGCTGCAGGTTGGACTTGGGAGGCGTGGCTCCAAGGCTTCGGGGGTCACCATGCGCAATTCCAGGGGTGCTCTGGACTCATCAGGAAGTAAATGTCCTGAAAAAAAAACGGTTCTTTTCAGAGCCACTAATTTATCTGCAATGAAAAAAGATTATCTGTTAGCTCTAATGATATTGTCATTATAATTTAAAATTCATATCTCTTCAAAAACGCTTTTTTTCAGAGCCACTGATTTATATTCAACGGAAGAATATCCGTTAGCCCTAGTGATATTGACATTAGAGATTTGGAAATTCATAATCTCTTGAAAAAACGGGATCTTGTCTACTGCTACGTGCTGCCAACCCAAGCGTTGCGGCGCAATGTACGGACTAAGAAAGGACGTATTCAGGTTCTATTTCATATAATATAGCGTAAAGAACTCGTTCTGCAAATAGGTACTCACAATCGCGATTGCTGATACTCCTCGATTTTAAAGCCGTTTTACTTCCCACGCCATTGTGAAAAATTTCTAAAATGAGATTTTGTTTTTTTAAGTCATATGACATCTACATCACGAAAAACTGTATCACTCATCATCAATTTAGAAATTATCGCTCGGATTTCCACACTAGTATGCCAAAGCTTTGTAGTTCTACTTCAGTGGCAACGATGCTATAGGCAAAAAAGAAAAAGTAACAATTGCTGAAACTCCGTTTTTGAGGTTTCAGGGTTCCTAATCGTTGACATAAAAAAATTGTACTGCTTAAAAATGGGGGTTGATATCAGTGAAACACGTTCTGTTATTGAGAAGTTTCTGATCCCAGTGATTACAGGAAATTTAAGTAACCGACAGTAGGGAATAATAAATTCGGATATCACTCCAGTCAAGTATAGGGGAATTTAGCGTGGAACTTTAAAATTACAATCGAGACGCTGTCAACCTTATTCTCCGTTGAAGACGCCACAAAGTACAGTCCTGTGATTTGGTGACTTGTTCGATCTGGAAAATCTCGTCGTCACTTTTTTAAGTTTCCCTGAAAATTTTCGCTTAGCAACCTCCAAATCAATGTAGTTAATGTCAGGTTTTTGACTGGATTCGACATAAAACTATTCATTTTCTTTGGAATGGCTATCCGAATTGTTAGTTATTTTTATATCAATTTTTTTGGTCTGAGTTTCTTTCCATGATTCTTGCGTTTGAGTCTTTGTTCCATCTTAGTGATACGCGAGGTTGGACTAAGCTTAGAACGCAAATGTATTTGGACCACACAGACAGGCCACTCGGTATTGTGGCTCACTACAGCTGCAGCACATCTTCCACGGTATGACCTCTTCTTGCAATAATTTATTCGCTTACCCCAATGTATTTTGCGATTATAGAGTTGAACTGCCCCAAATTATTGTTGTCCTCATCATGAATTAAACTCACTGCATTCGTAATCAAAATTGTTGCATATGACCTTTTATTGTCCATTATCAACCTTGATAAAAAAGGCACTCAAGAACAATCACAACACAACAAGAGTATCTACAGCACAACAATTCAACAACAACACAATAACAAAGGTAGAACAATACTAAATGATCACTTGCTGAGTACCAAAATAGGAAACGATTTACAGGCTAGATCGCTAATCGAAATCCGACTCTGTTATTATAAAAATTTACCTCGGTACGCACCCGCAGTCATCCTTTCCTCTTTTAAAGTAGCGACGGCCGTCTAAGACCAGCCCCACCATCGTTTCCTTTTCACCCCCCCCGTTACCTCAGCAGATGGAGCTCGTGATTGTAGGAGCCCCGTTAATGCCTAGGATTTTACTCTACTTCAAGTTTATCGAACTTTGCAATTATCGGCTATTCCAATGTCTCAAAAAATTTTTTTTTACCGAACGTAGGTTTACAAGACATGTTGAAAAATCATATTTGATCATATGTTTCACCAGACATTTTCCTTATTCATGATCGTTAACTTTAATGAATCTAAAAAAATAGAGTGGATGTAAATCAAAATTTATGGATAACATTTATTGACTTTTACCCATTAAATTAGACCATTTCCATCAGTGGCTGTCTGACAACTTAAGGTGCATTACTCGTAATTATGACTATACAGGGTGACTTCGAAGTTGAGTCATTTATTTTAACAGTGAGTAGATCTGATCAAAAGAAATGTTTTTTTCCTTTACCATTTTTCTGGTAAAATTAAAGTAACAAAGTTATAGCCCTTTAGAAGTTTGAGTACCGCCCTGTCTCAATAATAATATGTTCGTGTTTGGCGACAACGGATATAATCCGCCTGACCGGGTCATCGCATCGGAAACAAAAAAGCGAAAGAATTTGAAACGTTTATCACGATGTTTTTCGTCAGTCGATAACGCGTTAGTGAATAGTAGTGTTTGTTGCGTGGCTCAAACGAAATCAAAAATGGCACATGTTTACGAAAATGCTGAACTTGTGGACATGATTCTTATTTACGGGGGGGCAGTCTTTACAAAATGCTCCCGGATGCATCACGGATTTATGCGAATCGGTTTCCCAATCGAGTGCAACCAACCCCTCGTGCCTTTGTTAATGTAGTACAAAGGGCTCGTGAATCAGGTGACTTAAGACCGCACAGGAAAGGGCATGCCGGTGCTCCAAGACCGCACGATCAAATACAGGTCCGCACTGAAATACTTGTCGGGACGATACTTTATTAAACAAGGTAACATTTTTTTTTTATATTTTTTTATTTTTACACCATATTTTGGTTTATCTTCCTTCTACAATCATTATCTGAAAATTAATGACTCAACTTCAAAGTCACCCTGTATAATTGACTTTGTGTACCATGATTTCTTCTTATTAATTTGGTTCCCTACATGCATTTTACAACCAAGTGACTCTAATTTGTCTTATCAGATACTTTCATATATAAGCACTATCATCGGTCTTAATCAAATCTCTCTTTTGTTGTCACCTTACAAAGACATATTTCTTCAATTAGGTATTTATGTCGAAAAGTTTACTTGCAAGATGATCTAGACTCGCTTTTCTGACTCAATATTTCTCTGGTAGCGATCATATGTACGTCTCTCGTACCTATCATCTGATGTCAAGATTATTTTCCAAGACCCATTGGATTTGATATGATAAGACTGTAGTCTGAATGTACGAGGGTGTTAAATATCTATGATATATCTCACGAATAAAAAAAATTCAAATTTCATACTACATTTGTCCCTAGTTCCCTAACCAGACAGGAGCTAGCGCGAAGCATTTCCTCTTTCTGCAGAGTGATTTATCGTCCTATCTATGCATCTAGTCTTGGTTTAAAAAGCTCAATTTCGTATATTCAGTACTTATTGTTAAAGTACTTACTCTTTACTCTTTTTTTGCGTTACTTCGACTATTTGCTCGAGTTCCTCCGTGTAGTAACTCGCTGACTTAATTTCTCAACAATTCTCACAAATTATGCATTTAAAGTATGATCTCAAAATTTAATTCTAGTTAGCTGAACGTGTTCCTACCGTTCTCGTAAATACTCTACAGAAAAATGAAAGTACCTCTTTTACGATGGTTGTCGTAGTTTTCTCCGTTGCTTGGTTTGACGCTAGAATTTCATGCATACATGCAAAGTGATACATATCTGGAGATATATTTCTTCTACATTATGGATCTTCATACTCGGTTCAAAACCAATTACATGATGAGATGAAATACTTCTATGTTGTCTTTCTTGTGAAGTTACTGTTATCGAAAAAAACTTCAACTACTCAGAAATTAACATGTTGGGTCTACTCTTGAGAATAAATAGAACTTCATCTTGAAGAGAAGAGTGGAAGTATGGTGATACTCATTTTTTTTTTTTGGCATTAGAACTAGGTGTTCATGCAGCCAGTCACTAAGCATTATATGAATGATGGATCATCGGTTTGATTTTGCATCATTCATGTTTTTCCAAACTGGAAGTCTACTGTTATAGTGGGATGATGCTAGGGATCTTCACAGAGGACACTTCTTCACGCCTCAGGGGTCGGTCAGGGCGACTTCTTACACGTGCACAGGTAGACCACGGTAAGAGGAGGGATATAACAAATAGGGAGGAAACAAGGGTATGTGAGGTGATTATAGGTTTACATTGATTGAATGGATAAATTCAGCCAGGCTGTCGTAGATCTCCTTTCTATTTAGGGATAATAAATGTATGAGGTTAAAAGGAGTCAGTACATTTAAGTCTATTACTCTGTTTATTAGTCGCAGAGATTGATTCCTATTGTTCTGACAACCGAAGAATAGGTGGTCGAGATTTCCAATTTCATTACATCTTGTGCATAGGTCAGTGTCCAGTACGCCAATCCGATTTAGATGCTCTGGGTAACATGCGTGTCCAATCTGATCCTTATCAGTGTCGTTAAGGTTTTTCTGTTGTATTTGTATTTACTAAACCAGGTGTATCTAGGGATTTCGGGTTGTATTAATACATATCTATTTATTCTTGAGTTTTTATATTTCTCCCATATTGTTTCCCAATCAGTTCTCGTTTGTTTTTTTGCAAATGAATATTCATCTATGGGAAGAAGGTGGTCCAAGATTTCTCCAGAAGTAATGCTTTCCCTAGCCAATCTATCAACCCTCTCATTGAGCTTAATTCCGA